CTGAAAATCATCTAAGAAGAGGACCAGGAAGGGTGTAAGGAGAATGCCCACCAAGTCCACACCAACAGCCACACCCGGCACCTGGAAGTGTGTCCGGGCGCTTTCTTTGTGTCCCCAGAGAGAGAAGCCAATTTTGAAGGGAGGAGACTACAGTGTGGCAGCATTGGTTCAGCACAAGGGAAGTCTTTCTAACCACAAGGGCCTCCACCTGAAAATAATTCCCTCGTCAAGTCCTGCTTACGGACAAAGCAATATCATTAAATAATACATGTTTTTACAGAACAAAACGGTTGCCTCATGAGGTTACACTTGGAAAATACTTACGGTTTCTAAGTTGCATTTGGGTTATTTATAATCGTGTGTCTTGACAGACAGCATTAATGCATATTAATATTCCTGCCATAAAAACATTCTTCAAGCCAGAACGACTGGCTCTGAAAGAGACCAGGGTATGTGCAGAAGCCACTCTGCTAATGAAAGGTTAACTTGTATTTTTGAATTATTGATGGTTGCTTGTTACTAATTTTTTTCCTCAGAAAGGAGGAAATAATTAATGAAGAGATCATTGCCAATGTGTCTGACATCTATTAATGGTTTCATCTTGCAACCAGATTAAAAGAGACAGCTGGTCCCTGAATTTATGTGTGGAGACAGCTCCAAATGTGCTGACAACTCCGTAGGGGGGGGCAGGGCTGCCAGGCAGGAGGGCCTGGGCATAGGCACAGGCGGCTGGTGAGGGGGTCCTCTCCCGGCTGGCATGGCCTCGTCCAAGGGCTCTCAAAGGCTTTGCTGCAGAGGGGCCAGGCAACCAAGAGGCTATTAGTCTGACATCTTTCCAAACACTTCTGTTCCCACGGGAGTCCATTAGCACCTTCGCTGTGCCAGGCACTCATTGGCAGTTCCTCCACGGGTGTTTTGGATCAGTGGTTTTCAACTTGAACCTGTGTCAGAATCCCCTGGGAGGCTTGTTTAAACACAGATTCCTGGGTCCCACCTCCCGCATTTCTGATTCAGTAGGTCAGGGGTGGGGCCTGAGAATTTGCCTTTCTAACAGGTTCCCAGGTGATGCTGATGCTATTGGTCTAAGGACCACACTTTGGGAACTGGTTTGAGGCCAGTGATTGTCAGGCTGGGCTGTGAGACTGCCTGTAGAGGAGGGGCCGGCAAACGTGTTCTGTCAAAGGCAGGATGGTAAATATTTTCAGCAGTGTGGGCCAGATGGACTCCGTCACAGTTATTCACCTCTGCCTGCGCAGTGCGGAGAGCAGCCGTAGGCAATATGTGAACAAACATGCAGGATGTGTTCCAATAAAACTTTATTTATAAAAACAGGAGGTGGGCCACCACTGGTGGTAGTTTGCTGACCTCTGCGTCAGAGCAGCGCTGTCTGATGGAATTTTCTGTGATGTTGCAAATGTTCTCTATCTGTTCTCTATCTGTGCTGTCCAATATGGCAGCCATGAGCCACATGTGGCTACTGAACACTTGACATGTGGTTCGTGCGTCTAAAAATGGAATTTCTAAATTTTACATTTAAATGGCTAGTGGTGCCCTGCTTCACATTAAGAAGCTAGAAGGCTCTCATGGAGTGGACACTGCTCGGTCACCTACTTCCATGGGCTCTTTGTCGTCTTGGAGCCTCTGTTTCTTTAGGGGTAAGATAGGGGTAAAACAGTAGCTATATCACTGGGCTTTCCCCATGGGGAAGTGAGGGGCCTTGGCCCAATGTGTCCCCCTCCCCTCTACCCCCTCCCTTTGCTCCCCATTGGAAGTCTGACTATCCCTGGAGGCAGGGCAGGGGCTGGGGAGGTGGAGGCCATCTCTGCCTCTCTCTGTCCTTTACCTCCCTTCTCCTTGTCCAGTCTTCACCACCAGACTGTAAACTCCATGAGGTCAAAGACTACATCTATTGTTCAAGCTGCCATCCCTGGCACATGGCAGCCAGCCAGCTCACTTGTTGAAAGGATGCTCTAAGTTTCAGTCTTCCCCTAAAACTGTGCTCGGATTAGGAGATCCACAGGTAAAACATCTGAACGCTCTTGTCTTGGCCCCCACCAGAGCTGGAAGGGGAGCCACTATGCAGATAGGGAAACTGAGGCCCAGGGCGGTCTTGCCAAAGGTCCCACGGGGTTAAGGGCAGTCATCCTGAGGACAAGAGGCCGCCTTCTTGAGCAGGATTAAAAGGGACTGTAGGGCAGAGGACTATGCCACCCTATCCAGCCATCACAAAGCTCACACCTGGCCCCAGCCCCCTTGCTCCAGTACTGACCCTGAGCCCAACCCTGAGCCAGGGACAAACACATGGGCATGTTCCCCCAGCTCCCCAGGCTGATGGGGGGCAGACAGGAAAGCAGTTCTTCTTTTCTAATCAATACTGGGCTCTGGTGAAGGAGGGTGGGAGATGCTGCTGTCACTGTCCCCTCCCCTGAGAAACCAGCTCAGAGGGGGCCTGGCTTGAGGCCTCTGTGGTCCTGAGCCAGCCCTCTCCCTCCTGTCACCCACAGGCCTGTGTTAAGTGCCCAGGTGCCCTTTAAGAACTCAGGCTTGTGGGACCGACCAGGGAGGGGAACCACAGCCCTACAGCGGGAAAAGCATCACCACGGCAGCCGGCCCAGGGGGCCTTGGCAACAGGCCTTGGGCAGGAAGTGCCTCTCAGCCAAAGTTTCACAGGAAGCCTGAAGGAGCAGTGTCAGTTTCCCAGAGAGATGATGCAGGGGAGGGCCTTCCAGGCAAAGGGAACAGCAGGTGCTAAAGCTCGGTGGTGTGGCTGTGTGCCAGAGCCCTGTTGGACAGCAGGTGAGAGCATGGCGCTCCCGAAGGAATACAGAGGGCAGTTCCTGGGTGTGGAGGGCAGCTGGGACAGTATAGAGGGCCATGGTTCACCCCGGGCAGCGACAGCCTGGCGCTGGGGTCTGGCACTGGTCCTGCTCCCTCAGCTTGGTGACCTTTGACATGGAGCCTTTTTTTTTTCAGGGCCACATGAACCCCAATCAGACCTGGGAGCTTTGCGGGCAGCGATATGACATGTAGTATAATGGGAAGGCACAGGAGGGTGCCGGATGACAGGGGCTCTGAAGTCATGATGAGAAGTGCTAGTGTATACTTTTTCAGAAAGCTTGAGACACAGAATGAATAGGAGCCAAGTTAGAAGTGTGACACCCAGGTCTTTAGTGACTTAGAAACCTCCTGCTCCCCTGGGTTGGCCCCTGGGATCGGCCATGGCTAGGGTCACAGGTCATGGGCCTGGGTCAAGCCTCTCCTCAGGCCTTGGGTGAGGGTTAGGACAGCCAGCAGTTTACCTCTGAGCAGAAGGGATTCCCCCATTCCAGATGCCCCAAAGGCCATTCATCTCTGCATCCCCAGAGACGAGCACAGGGTAGGGCACAGGGTTAAGTGCTCCGTAAGTGTTTGTAGAATTATTAAGAATCTCTGCGGCAGCTTGTGAAAGGTCCCACTTGCGGCCCCCCTCCCCCACCTGTGGAATCCCACTCTCCCCAGACAGGGGTCTGGGAAGCAGGACTTTGGGAAAACTCCCTGACAGTTCTTTTGCGTGGGGCACGCTGGCTAGTCCAACAGGCTAGCCCAAGTCCTTCACCTTTTGAAGGTGGTGGTGGTGGGGAGCCAGATAGGGCTGACAGCATGTGCCTAGGATTACAAGTGCAGGGTGGGGACAGGTAATGGGTCTCCATTTAAGGGAACTGTTCCACTCCACCTAGTGGGAACTGGGGGAGACATGCCCTGTGTTCTCTGCCATAGCAACTCAACCCAGAGCCTGAGGCTCCCCACTCCTGGAAACATTGGCTGTGCCTGACTTTTCTATTTCTCCCCCAAAGTCTGTCCAATCCATCCTTGGAATCCCAAAAAGGATGAGGGTGGGGAGGCTGTGTGCTGGAACAGAAAGAGGGGGGCTTTGGCCAGGTTCACAAGTGTGAATCCCTTGGGCATTGCCCACAGCCAGGACCCAAGCGGCATCGGGTCTCCTCCATGAGATTTCGGCTCCCAGGAGAGCAGAGTTCCAGCCTGTGGCTGCAAGGGAGAGCTCTGACTCTGATCTACGGTTTTAAGCCCCAACCAGGTCTTTGTTCAGACCGGGAAGAAAAAGGAAAAAGCTACACGGTTCTGTCTCCCGAGAAAGGGAAGAGGGGAAGGCAGCAAGAGACAGGGGGGCGCCTCTTGCCGTCTTTGCCCTTCCAGAGTGGGGGTGGGGACAAGGGAAAGATGTAGGTGAATAAGAGGGGTGCCTGGGCGGCTGATGAGGTGTGTGTGTGGGGGATGACAGCATCGCGGTCAGCTATGCGCCCAGAAGAGTGTGTGTGTGTGAGCACGCGCTCGAGCGCGCGCTTGGTGTATGTGTATGTTTGTGTGTTTGTGTGTGTGTGTGTGTGTGTGTGTGTGTGTGTGTGTGTGTGCGCGCGCGCGCGGTGGGGGTGTCGACTCTTAGATGAAATTCTCATCTCCAGGCATGCCTGAGACCCTCTCCAGCAGACGCCTGCCCCAGTTTAGGACAGACGCCCCACCCCTTCCCCCATTCATCTGGCCCCGTCATCTCTATTTAAGACAGCTGCCCCTCTCTCACTCCGCCCCCACCACTCACCTGTTTTCCCACTCGAGTTCAAACGATTGCGCCCTCTCTCCCTCCTCCCCCACCTCCCCTGGTACCTGCGCCCAAGCTGGGCAGACGATGCTTAGCTGCGTGGCGCGGCGCGAAGAGGCGAGGACACTGTGGGGCTTGTGGGTGCGGGGGATGTGTGTAGGCGCGTGACTGTGCCAGCGGCCCCGAGCCGGCCAGTCCCGCTGAGGGTGCGCGGGGGAGCCAGCGTGTGCTAGCCGCGGGCGTGTGCCAGGCGCGGGCGTGCGCTCCAGGCTGTGCGTGCTGCCAAGGCGAAGCACCCCGGCGGGCGGCGGCGGCGGCGTTAGGACTCCGGGGACACCGCCCTCCGCCCCCTCGTCCCGCCCCCGCCCAGCCTCCCTTCTCAGTTAGCGCGGCGCCTCAGCTTCGAGCGCAGCTGCGCCGGCTCCTAGAGCCCAGCGGAGCCAGCCCGGCGCCCAGGGCGCGCACAGCCCGCGGCGGCGCCGGCGATGCGGGGCCGTCCCGCGCCCGCCCCAGTCCCGGCCCGGGCCCCCGCGGGAAGGGGCTGAGTCGCCTGCCGCCGCCCGGATGGCGAGCCTTGTCGCGCTCGCCCTCAGCCTGCTCCTGAGTCTTCAGCTGCCGCCGCTGCCCGGAGCCTGGGCGCAGAGCGCCGCAGGTGAGTGCGCCCGCCCGGCTCCCCGCTCCTTTCCGGGACGCCCGGGCACCCGCCGCAGGGTCCTCGGAGGAGAAAGTTGGGCGGGCTCGCGGGGCCCGGTGGCCAGAGCCCAGGTCCCTGCCTCCAGACGCCTGCAGCTGCGGCCAAGCGCGCCCGGGCCACGGGGACCGGCCCCTCGCGTCCCGCGGCAGCCCGCGTTTGGCGAAGTTCTCAGCTGTACTTTGCCGCCGCCCCTCGGGCTGGAGTAACTTTCCGCGGTTGTTGCGAATATTTCCACTTGCTGCCTCCCACTTGTCGGAATCTGTCACTTGAGTGTTTGGGGCGGCGAGATGAGAAGAGAAGCGGCAGCGACGCCCGGGGTGGAGCGTTCGCGCCGGTAGCTTCTCGGGCAGCGCGCGCTTTTCCTGGGGCGGACTGGTCGGCAGCAGGCCGAGGCTGCCAGGGCAGTGGCTTTTCTTTCCTCCCGGGAGATACAGGAAGCTGCAGACTTGCTCTAAACACGCTGCGCCCCTCAGCTTGACCTTAAGCGAGCTGCCGATGGCACCCGTGCAGGTGTTATGTGTTAACGGTTGAGACAGCAATGCCTCCTCCCTACCCCGTGGTTTTTATCCGGAGCAAATGGGCACCCCTGTTAAGGCCCTTCAAGTGGAGTGGCTTTGACCTATGAGGCTGTCTGCTCTTGAAAAGTTTGGGGGACTCCTATTTGGGGGTGACCATGGAGAGGAGGTGAGCAGGGGCAGTTCCCAATGTGGAGGGTTGGCCCTGGTATGTTTCTGATGGTAAGTTGGCATGCACAGCAGACTCCCACGCTCCAGGGCTTACACATCACCAAACTCCACCGCAGGCAGCTCCCAGCCCGGAGCCTCCAAAGAGCAGTGGCGGGAAGGAGAGAAGGAAGGAAGGGTGCAGGCACGCTTCCAAGTTCAAAATCACCTTGAAGTTTCTTAGCACCGATTGGCTTTGGTGTGGCCACACTGAGCAGAGGTTGCTGGGATCACAGGGTCAGGCTGACATAAACAAGTGGGACTCAGGAAAGGCTCGTTTTGGATTTGCTGAATACCAGCGGTGTCCATAGATTATCACGGGGTGGGCAGGGGAGGGGGGAGAGAGAGAGAGGAGAGAGAGGAGAGAGAGAGAGAGAGAGAGAGAGAGAGAGAGAGAGAGAGAGAGAGAAAAGGGGCTTTGGGGGCATGTAACCTCTTTAAACAGGCTGCTTCTGAGCTTAAGGACCTACGGAGTGACATTATATTGGAAATGCACTGGGATCTCCCTTGCTCCAACCCCAAATGGGAACTGAATACAGGACTTTTGTGAAGGGACAGCTTGTGTCCGTGGCTGAGAAGTTAGGCGGCTAGGACACTTCTTTTGAGGTGTGTGAAGCTGAAAGGTCGGATTAGCAAGGGAGAGAAGAGGGACAACCACGACACCGTTCTAAAGATGGAGTAGAAGTCTTGTTTTCCTCGTTTTGGGTCTGTATTAGGTGTGCTAAGGAGGGGACAGGAGGATGTTGTGGTAGTCCAGGGGACCCTGGCATGATTCGTGACTTAATTTTACTATCCTCCAACGCCTGGGCGACCTGCCACACACATTAATAGTACTTACGTTCCCGCGGCAAAAACAGCATTAAAAATATTCCGCCACGGGCCTCTAACCGTTCTTGGGTAGCATGCGGTAAAACCATACGGGCCTGGAAACCTGTCTGATGCTAAAAGCACTCCAGTTCCGGATGCTCCCGCCAGGTGGCGCTCGCCCACAACTGTTAAAATGCAAATCTAGTTGCTTTCATCTCAGGAATAGAACTTCTTTTCAATTTTTAAATGAGTAATGTGTTTATTCAGCAGCCTTTTGTTAAAACATTTAGAGAAGTGTGAGGAGCAAGCACCTTTTCTTTGTTTGCTCTTTGGAACACATAGGAAAGAAAAGCAATTCTGGAGTACAGTTTGGGAAGAAATCTACTGTTAAATCTCCATATGTTTCTTTTGGTTCTACCTGAGCTGAGAGGTTTTTGCAAACGTACTAAAGCATATACTTATCAAGTGACTGCGTTTGTTCCAGGGGCTCCTTAAACGTGGGGAATTAGCTTATGTTGGAGATTTGGTGCATTGTAAGCCTCACTCATGGGGATTTTCTGTGTATATCTATTCCCTCCTTTCTGGTTTAATGCTAACTAGACCATTTAAGTTAATTTTTAAAAGGAATTCCTTCATGAACGTCTGCATTTGTAGATGCAGGACTGCTGCAAATTTTGACTTTAAAATGGGCTTATTTTTTTTTCTAAATGTAGACATTGTTGGACTTCAAATCTAAATAGTATAAATATGACAATAGCTCGATTTCCTATGAAGCATCTTATCTAAAACTTTTGGCAAGTTTGGGTAAATAATACATTTTAACACTGTGATGTGATCACCATATTTTTTTAATCCGAAGATTCCCAGTCTGGAAAGCGATTTCAAATTTGTAAGCATACATCTTAGTGCATAGTTAGGGTGATATTTTTTGCTGTGACATGTTGGTCACGGTGTCCAGGCGTCAGTGGTGTAAGCTTGTCATCAAAAGGCAATTTCCTTCTTCCTTACTCTGAGGTGTGTTTCATGAGCCAGGATGATTTTTGTAAGGAATGATAGTAAAAAACATTTAAAACCGGCCTGTTAAGAGTATGGCAAAACATGATTTTGGATGGGAGTGGAGGGAAACAGCTAAACAAACGGATAAGGAGCTACTGGTCTATTTCCTAGTGGGTTTCAGCATCTGTACATTGAGAGCAAAAATGGATCCTAAAGGGGGCTGACTTGAGATTGCAATCGCTAGCGATGTAGTTATTTAGCTCGATAATCATTGCCAGATACCTCTGTGGAACTGTTAGCAGTACAGTCAAATTTTACTTTCTGTCCTGGATTGTTTGATTTGTCTCCTAATAGAAGAACAATTATTGTGTAAACCTGGCTTGGCTTCTGTTTCAGCAACGATTGCAAACACCTGCGTGGTGAAAGCAGCCCATCTTCTCGGGTTACAACCTGTCTTTCTCCCCCCACTTCATTTCTTCTTGCTTACCCCCTGCACAGCTCCTGCAGGCTCCTGGCTGCCAGCTGAGAGGCATCCGCTGTAGTAGTGTAACTGTCACCTTTCAGAGCCATGATCACAGGGCATTACAGCATTGTTCTTTTAAGCACAGGATAGTCCCATGACTCTGACGGTGTGTTGCTGTGGAAACAAGAGCAATGCCACGCAGGCGGTGGGCCCTTGATAAATATTTATTGATGATGATGAAGAGATAGTAGAGCCTCCTGGCAACCATGGTGAGAGACAGAGGAGTTTAGCTCGAGAGGCAGCCTGATTCAGAGCAATGAGGATGAGCTTTGGAGCCTGAAGTCCTCAATTTCAATCCTGCCACGGCCTCTTTCTAGCTATGGCAGCTTGGGCAAGTTTTTTACCTCCTTGGATCCCCACCTGTAAAGAGAGGAAAATGATAGCGGCCTCACTGGGTTTCATGAAGACTAAATAGGATGATGGATGCAGAGTGAGCAGGAGACTGGTGCGGAGTAGGACTTGATCCTACCGGGAGCCTGTCCATCACTTGCCTTGGCATCGGTGCCTGTACCCCAGGCCAAGGGAGCACGGGCGCTAAGCTCAGTTGTGAATTGCCAATTAGACGGCTGGGTTTGGGTGGTGGTATTTAGTTTTTCTTCTTTTTGGAGGCTTGATTCTCTGCAACCACTTTTAGACAGAGATTTAAAATGAAATTTTCTAACAGGTGATCCTAATACACGTGGCCACTCGAGGGTTTAGATGGGGGATGTTTTGTTTTAAAGTACATTCTACCTTTCTACACGGGAACTGATAAAAAACTGAATGGTTGCCCATTGTAACAGGAAAGTATTTGGGTGTATCCTTTCCTACCACCCTTCCTCTTATGGTCTTCCTTGCCTCAGGGCTCTGCTTCCTGCTTCATTTCCATCCCTTTCCTAGAAATCAAGTGCGTGACCCTCTGGGGCAGTGAGGGGAAAGATACACCAGCAAAGAATAAGTAAACATATAGAGGTCTGTGGCATTCCAATAAATAAAGAAAAAGAGCTATGAGGTTATTGAAAATAAACCATGTCCGACAAGTGTAATAACATTTGCAAGCACATTACAGAATTGGGGCTAGGAGGCAACACCATGTGGATATTAGAAAGCAGTTGGAGTGTCTCATGAAATCTTATAAAATGGAGTCAAATGAGCATGGAGAGGAAGAAAGCTATGGATTTTTTTTTATGGCTTAATAGCATTCAGATGCAGACACAGGGACAGTGGTCATTGCGAGTGTTGTGTCCAGGTGGGCCAGGGTGACCCGCTGAGGTCCTTGGATTCAGGATTTGGTGTGGGCTTTCTATGGATACTTTCATTTGCCTGGCAAAGGGGGAAATGAACATGATAATGCCATTTATTTATCATCTATTAGTAAGAGTTTCAGGTACTAAGGAAGATACAGAAGGACCCAGTGAGGATTCTAGGAATAGATCCCAAGGGACCTATAAGAAGTCAACTGTGAAAAATGTGTCAGAAAGGCAGAGTGGTGAAAGGTAAGGATCCACTGAGAAATGCTGATCACTTGGCCTGTTTTATCCCAAAACGTCAGCATTATTTCTCTTGGCCCATCCTAGGTATTTACACAGATAATGGATGCTCAGAAGCTCCATCCGGCTGGTGGATAACTAATAAATTGACATGAGTCCACAGTGTTACAGACATTTTTTTTTCCACATTGGAGTCAGACATACACAATTCCAACTGGTACATGAGTGGAATAGATATCAAGTCTTTCCCATCTCTTGAACATTCAGCTTAAAATTTTTATTTGATGCTGGAGGGAATAAAAAAATGGTGATGTCACTTTGGTAAACAGTTTGACAGTTTCTTTAAAAAGGTAAACGTACATGCCCCAGGATGCTGCAGTTCCACTTCTAGGAATGTACCCAACAGAAATTGAAAATGTATGTCCACACAAAGACACATGT